AATGTGACCAAGAAATAGCAGTCAATGGCAACCACCTCTGAGTGGCCTGGATAATTGATCTTAGCATATTTTACAGCAGCTATAATAAGAATATTCAAGGAATTAAAGGCAACTGTGATCTTAATGAAAAAATAGATAAGGAATCTCAACAGAGAAATGGAAAATTAAAAGTGAAAATTCTAGAAAAGAAAAGTAAATAACTGGAATGAAAAATTCACGGATTAGCTTAACAGAACTTGGAGATGGCAAAAGAAGGAGTCAGTGAACTTGATCAATACAAATTAACCAATTTGAAGAAAAGGTGAAAAAAAAAGAGTTGAAGGAAAAGTAATGGAACCTTAGGGATATGTAGGACACTATAAAACAGTATAAGATACATGTTACTCAAATGCCAGAAAGAGACAAGAGTGAGAATGGAGCAGAAGAATATTTGAAGAAATAATGGCCACAAATTTCTCAAATATTAGGGAAAATATCAATATACTTCCAGGAAGATCAGCAAACCACAGGGAAGCTAAACACAAAGAAAGTAATGCCCCAAAATGTCGTAATGCCATGGTTGAGAAGTCCTGCTCTAAAACAATCAACTTAAAAAATAATTTTAAAAAAGAGAAATAGCTAAGAAGGCAATTGAGGAAATTACATGGAATATTACTGCTTAGTCAGTTAACTCAAAAGAGGGGATGGTAGGAGCCACAAAGGTGCAAAATGGAAAGTAAATAATGGGATGGTATACTTAAACCCAATCACATCAATAATTACATTAAATATAAATGGACTAAGCACTCCCTGATGGGGGCAAGTCTTTTTTTTTTTTTTTAAATGTTGCTGAGACAACTGGGTATTTACATGGAAAAAATGAACTTCAACCCATTTCTCACTCTGTTAAAAATTTAAATTGGAGATGGATTATAGACCTAAATCTAAATCTTAAAACTCATAAAGCTTCTAGAAGAAAATATAAGAGAAAATCTCCCTGACTTTGGTGTAGGTAAAGATTTCTTGGGTGGGGCACAAAAAACATGAACCATAAAAGAAAAAAAATGTGTAGGAATGTACAATGATATACTTTTGAGAACTATTTGGCATTTTTTTTTTTAAAGATTTTATTTATTTATTTGAGACAGAGAGAATGAGAGAGAGAGAGCACATGAGAGGGGGGAGGGTCAGAGGCAGAAGCAGGCTCCCTGCTGAGCAGGGAGCCCGATGCGGGACTTGATCCAGGGACTCCAGGATCATGACCTGAGCCGAAGGCAGTCACTTAACCAACTGAGCCACCCAGGCGCCCGAGAACTATTTGGCATTTTATAATAGTTATACACACATCTACTGATTGTCCCAGCAATTCCGTTCCTACGTGTTTACACAAGAGAAACGAAAACAAGTAACACACACAAACAACCTGTACAAAGATCTTCATAGCGGTCTTATTCATAATAGCCCCAAACGGAAACAACCGAAATGGATAAACAAATTGTTATTTACTCATATAACAGAAGAATTCTTGGTAATAAGAAGAATAAACTGACACATTTGTGGGCTGGAACCATAAAGCTCCTGAAGGTGCTAGGTGCCCCATCAAGATCTTTTGACTCTAGATGTCAACACTTTACCCTCTTGGGCTCTATCTGGCCTGCCCAGTAGGGAGGCCAGTCTGGGGTTGGCATCCACAGGAATCCTTGCTGTCTCTTGCAAGGTCTGAATGGAAGGGAAGCCTATAGAGTCTCAGGCCTACCAGCCTAGCCCTAGATCAGCCATGGGAAAAGGGCACTGGCCCTGGCTAAGGGTCTATTTGAACATGGGCATTTTCTCTGTTTCCGTAAGCTACTGCCCTTCCATGAGCCCTAGACTCCATTTCTGAAGCTCTCCCCAGAGATTATAATCTTGGTTTCACTGAGAGTCCACCAAGGGTCCAATGTGAACTATGGGCTTGGGTGATAATGATGCGTCACTGTGGCGTCAGCCCCTGTGATAAATGCACCAGTGGTGAGGAGTGTTGGTAGTAGAAGAGGTTGTGCATGTATAGGAGCAAGGGAGCATGTGGGAAGTTGCTGTGCCTTCCTCTCAATTTTGCTGTGAATTTAAAACTGCTCTAAAAAATGAAATCCAATTTTAAAAGAAAAAAAACCCAGCTAATAGCAAAATTTCCCAGATTTATATCTCCTTAGTTGGAAATAATGCTCACACTTAGTTTGGGTTGCTTAGCCCTTATTCTAAATTTTTTGAGAGGGATTGCCATTGCCAAATAGTGTCAAGTAGACCAATGGACTGTCTCCAGGGTTCTGGGAATCTTAAGAGGGGGAAATCCTCATGGCTTGGGTCACATTGTACTAACATGGTGAGTTGTACTAACCATGTAGGTGGAGTTAGCTGATGACACATTTCTCAGAAATTTCTAGAAGTTTCTAGAAAAGAGGTTATTTGGCAGGCAAAACAATAATGCCCCCTCTACCTGCTTTCAAACATAAGACTGAGAAAAATAAAATTTCACTTCTACAAATTTAATGCTTTTTAAAATTTTACTTTAGGTACAAATCAAAAGAGTTTCAATAACAAAAGTGAGGTTAAGTTACTCTCCTACCACTCACTGAGCGAAGCAATAGGGTTAATTATCACTTGACCTTAGAACATCAAATTAATCACTATTTATAGGTTTTCGACTATCCTGAAACCTTGAGACACTTCATTTGGAATAAAGTAATTATAGCAGCCTTGAGGCAGGAAGAACGGTTAAGACCTGTGTCCCGAGCACCGGTCACTTCACTGTGACCTTACCAACAGCCAGAGATTTTCCAGCTTCTCATTTATGAAGAGGACATACTGAGTGTTGTTACCATCAGGCCCTGAAACTACTTTGTGCCAAGCTCATAAAACAAACCTTCTCTGACAATAGTCAGGGAGCAAACCTTAAAAGGCAAGCAAATGTGGCCCTGACCTCTCTTCTTACCCAAGTAAGAAGCCCTGGTTCCACGGGTGAGAGGCGTACAGACTCTTGGGGCTACAACCCTTGGCCTCCTGCTCTTGTCTCTCGGCTCCCGGCAGAGGGAACCACAGACACTGCTTCCTTAAATGGAAGACAAGAAGGCAGTGAGGAAGAGAGAAAGCATTTCCTTTTTCTCCACTCTCCACTGCGTCCCTGCGGGCTGCTCACAGGCAGGGCACCATTCTCCTGCGAGATCTAGCCCACACCCTCCAAGCTCCCGGGTCACAAACCAGAGGAGGGTTTGATTTATTTCCTCACATCTCCCCACTCACCTGGGGCACAACCAGTCCCGGACAGGGAGATGGTTCTTGCGACCCCGCAGTTAGGATGCCCTCAGTTGTGAGTCACAGACTACTGGCCTCACCACAGCAGTGACTTCCTGTACAAAAGGTCTAGAAGTAAGCGGTCTCAGGGCTGCCCAGGCTCATCACCTCAGTCCATGACCCTGATCTTTAGCCTTGTCTCTTCTTGGGATCAGCATGGAAGCTATGGGTCCCCGCATTGTAGACAGAACATCTGACCAAAGAAAAGAGCCTTTCCCCTTTGTCTTTTTTATTATTATTATTAGGGAGGAGCCCTCCCAGACACCCACTGGGTCCCACTGGCTGGGACTGGTTTGCTCGCTATGGCCTCCATGGTGGGAGAAGGCGGGACGGCGGGCAGACTGGGCAGGCGGCTCAGCAGCAAGCACAGCATTTGATCCTGTCCCCCACTAGCCTCTCCCCAGGACAGTTTCTGACCTTGCTTTTCACCTTTACCTAAATTTGTTAATATATTTGTTAAAACATAAAAGTAATTTATCCTTGTTGTTGAAAATGAAGTAATAAAAGGTACTTTAAACAGGAAAAAGTGATTGAGAGGCAATTCTTGTTAACGTTTTGGTACATTCTCATCCTGCTAATTTCTGTAGAGTTTCTACATCTGTAGTGAAGGGGGAATAGTGGCATTTAAAATCACCACTTTAGAGGCGCCGGAGTGGCTCAGTGTGTTGAGCATCCGATTCTCGGTTTCAGCTCAGGTCCTGATCTCCTGGGTTGTGGGATCGAGCCCCGGCATCGGGCTCAGCATCGGGAGTCTGCTTGGATATTCTCTCCCTCTGCCCTTCTCCCACTCGTGCTCTCTCTCAAATAAATAAATCTTTTAAAAAATAAAATCGTCACTGCAGCTGCTGCAAACGTTCGAAAGAATGCCGTAATTTTTCTCGAGGGAAGTTGATTTCTTTTTATCTGGGAAAAGTCTCAAGCGGGCTTCCTTCAGGGGGAAACGTGAAGTGGCACTCACCTCCACCCTTCCTGCCACACAGTCTAACAGGCAACAGTAAAACATAACGGGGACTAAATTGAAAAACATTTTTTAAATTATTCTTTGAAGACCTAAAACAGGCGTGAGGGCTTGCGACTGTGGAGAAAGGGCCAGATGTGTTGCAGGCAGGGTTGGCGGGGGGCCTGAGGAGGGTCTGTGAGGACTGCTGTAACAAAGCACCACAGACTGGGTGGCGTATGAGCAACAGAAAGTATCTGGCACAGTTGTGGAGGCTGCAAGTCCAAAGTGAGGGCAGCAGTCGGCTTCTGTGGGGGCCTCCTTTCCAGTTACAGATGACAAATTTGTTCATCCTCAGATGGTGGAAAAAGGGAGACCAACTCTCTTACCTCTTCTTAGAAGGGCACTAATCCCATGCATGAAGGCTCTACCCACATGACCCAATTACCCCCCAAAGGCCCCACCCCCTAATACCCTCACAACGGGTATTCGATTTCAACATACGAATTTTGGAGGGACGCAAACCTTCGGTCCATAAGAGAGGGCTACAGATGATGGGAAATTTTCTTGAGGAGAGATGTTTTAATTATCTATGCATGACAAACCACTGCAAAATTTGAAAGCTTAAAGCAAAATTTAGGATTTCCCTTGGTTCTGTGGGTTGATGGGGACAGCTGGGAGGCTCTCGTTTGAGGTCTTATACAGTTGGGGCTGGAGTTGTCTGAAGGCTCAACTCCAAAATGAGTTCTTTACTCACATGTCTGGTGCTTCAGCTGGCTTGGCAGGATCATGGGAGCTGGCCGGGCCTCTCTTCTGTCTCCACCCAGCCTTGCACGGGGCTACCTTGGCTTTTCTTCGGGTGGTGGGCTCAGAGTAGCAGGACTTCTTACAGAAGCATCTGTTCCGAAAGACCAAGGCCAAGCTGTAAGGCTTCTTTTGACTTAGTCTCAGGGGACATGCACATCTCTTCTGTTACATTCAGTTGGCTTACAATTACTACTCTAACCATAGTGTAGGCACTCCATGAAAATTCTGAATTACTATTTTAGAAGTCCAAATGCAACTTTTCATCAGCAACACAAAAAACAACTAATAGTTATAGAGCATTTACTGTGTGCCAACAACCCTATGAGGTAGGTCATTTCCTCTTTTTTGTAAGTAAAGAAACTGAGGCACAAAAAAGGTAAAGTGACCTGCCAGCGACCACAGAGTTAGTAATCAGAGAAGCCTTAATTCAAACCCAGGCAACCCGGCTCAGGCTTCCTGAAGAAGAGGAGAACCCATTTTAGTGTTTCTGGCACTGGGGTCTGAATCTGCAAATTAATATATTCCCTATGACAGGTGACTTGAGTTGCAACAGACATTTTGCTGTATTCTTTTCTCCTGGGTAATTGATGCCTCTTCACTGAAATTGTAAGAAACAAGCAGACGCCTGTGGCACAAAGACCCAGGTCCTATTCGTAACTATCTCCCTGGTCTTGGCCCTTGCCCCCTTCTGGAAACCTGAAATCGACATCCCTGCCTTCCGCACAGCCCAAGGCGTTTCCGTAAGCAAACACCCCGACCATATGCACTGAGGACACACATTTATTTTGAAATGCCTGTGCAGCCAGCTTCGTATGATGTCTTCTCTTACTGGGGCCTGGCTACAGGAACGTGTCATGCTGCTGGGGGCAGCACTGGTCCCTGGCTCGATTGGCCACTGCCCACTGGCATCTTACTCTGCAGCCTGCATGACTTCCCCAAGATGCCTGGTGGCCACACATTTCCTTAAATCCTTTGGAGACTATAGCCTGGCACCTCCAAGTTCCCCTCACCCCCGAGTCAGGCGTAATCCTTTTTAGAAATTTCTGCATTTCCACTAAGGAATGTGCTCTAACCAAATTTGATGTTAGCAAGGAACCGTGTAGCTGGACCTGGAACATTCTAGTCCTGGCTTGACAATGACCTTGGACAAGTTGCATGCCTTCATATCAGAGAACAAGAGTTCCCAAGCCTTTTCTTGGCAAAGATCCCTTTGCCCTCAATGAACCATCATCCATGACTCTGCACTCACTTAATTATAACTTGGTTTCTCCATTTTATTAATCAAACAAAATTAACCCCCAATTAAGCTTCTGTTAAGTATAAGCTGATCATGGCTACTGTCTCAGCTGATTAAATTCTAGCCAATGGAAACATTTTCCTTAGCTTGGGCGACCTTATCTTAGGTAAGCGTATGGATTCCTCTCAGCTTTTGGAATTTTGAAAATTGTGTAGACTCCATTAACTACTACCCCTGGCTGTGTTGACCATACCCAGGACTCAAAGACTAAGTCCAAGTTTTGTGCCTCCATCATGTACCTTAAATACAGAGTGATGGTATCTATCCTTGTTGGGCCCTTCTTTGTCCTTACAAGACCCACGAGATGGCCCTTGCCTTCCCTTGGGCACAAATTCTGTCAAGGGACTGCCCACACAAATCTCCCCTTGGCTTTCGGGGCCTTGCTAACATCCATCTCCTACCAACACCATCAACATGTGCCATCTATTCTGCTGGACTCCTTGAAGGTTTACTTCCATATTAACCACACTGGGACAACCAAGGAGCTGATGGAGAGTGTGAGGGGATTCCCAATTAGAGTTAGTTTTCAGCTCACACAAAATCCAGAGAAGTTGGCTTAACATAAAAGATTCTCAGTGGATTAAAGGATGGAACAACCGCAAGATGGCAGGATGGACCTGCCACATATTTACCCCCTCCTCCCCACTGAAATCTGGTCCCCTTCCAGCTCCTCTTGCTCTCCCTCCATCCTGCAACTGCCTACCAGACTGCAACAGAGAAGGGCTTTGTCCCCAACCTCATGCTCATAAATACTATTGTTACAAATAGCTCAGCTCTGGCTGCCATCTGCTGAGTTGCTGGGGAACACGATAATGCCCAGCACATTTAGGGTGGAGCTAGGGAAAGATTAACAGGTGTGAAAGGGTAGCCAGCTCCGGGAAGGGATCAAAACACCAGCTCCAAGTGAGCCAGAAAACTCCGGATCCACTCAGGCCAGACTCAGAACTGCAGGTCCCTGAGCCTCTCTCTCCCTTTCATACACTAGGCGTGGCAGATTCTATTACTGCACCCCATCCTATACAACACATTCCTGCCTGCCACCACGTGACTTGCACTATTTCCTGTGAGAATACACTACCCCCACCCACCACTGGCACTTGGCATGGGATTTACTTTGGTCAGTGGATATATTGCATAATATATACCAATGTGTTTTGTCAGCTCTTCTTTCCTTCCCTCTGTAAGAATGGCATGTTCCAGACAGGGCGTGCCCTACAGTGGGGATCCCGAGATGAGAAGATAGAAGCAGCAGGTCGTGGCCAATGCCGGCAACCAGTGGTGTGCGATGTGCATGAAAAGAAAACATGGCTGATGTCACCCCGAGATTTGAGAGTTATTCTTGCAGCATAATCTGGCAGAAGCTAATGTGCTAGGAGTCACAAACTCCAGGCTATGGGCAAGCAAAGCAAATGAGTGAGGCACAGTGTGTAAGGCCATGGGGATGATGGGGCTGTGACAGGCGGGAGAGAATCGGCCTAAGGTTAGCCTCCAGCATTAAACTGTGTTATGAGTTAAAATAAAACATGCTATTTGGTTAAACATCAAGAGGCCAAGATTTTAATAACACAGCTGACTGATACTCCAAATTTAGACTATTAAGAGACATGTAGTTAAAAACAAAAAGCATAATGACCCAGCTTTTTGTTTTTCATAATCATTGAACTTTTTAGAGATCTTTTAGGCACCAATTTCTAGTTGAAAAGAAACAATCTTCTGAAATTTAGCAATTATTCACATTTCAGTTGTGATTTTTGTTTTAAAGGGAAATTATTTATTTTAAAAGTTCCCCCTTAAGAAGTTCTTTGACTTAGCTTCCCCAACATCAATATAAACTTCTACAAAACCAATCTAATCATACCACAAAAATAACCACCATCTGTCTTAAAGAAAGTGACTCCGATATGAATGGGGATTACCAAGGGCACAGATTGATTCCATAGACTATTTCATTTGATTTTATTGTAACTGATTATCAGGTCTGAGACCAGGAAAATGGAAATAACGGTCTTATAGAGAATCACACATTAAAATAGTTCTAATTGGGGGCACCTGGGTGGCTCAGTCAGTTAAGCATCCAACTCTTGATTTCAGCTCAGGTCATGATCTCAAGGTCGTGGGATCCAGCCCCGAGTCAGGCTCTGAGCTCAGCGGGGAGTCCATGCTTGAGCTTCTCTCTCCCTTCTCCCTCTGCCCCTCCACCCCTCTCAAATAAATATATCTTTAGAAAAATAAAATAGGTCTAATTGAAATTAAGTATTTCTTATAGAATTATAAATATTTGAGTGTTACTAGAGCTAACTACATATTTTCACGTTTTTATTTTCTGCCAATGGCTTTGATCTTTTGCCAACCTGTCCTCCAGAAAAAAGGAATCACTTGTCCCATATCAGCCACAATGGGAAATTGCACAACCCCAAGAATATGGGGCAAGGAGTCTTCCTCTTTGATCTACCGGTAGGTCAGAAGTGATCTCCATCACCACTCCTATGAAGAAATGTGCTTCTACATGACATGGAATTCAGTTATGATCTTCAACCACACATTAAGGCTTTCCTTTTGATGTGAAACTAGTAACAACAGCAGCAGCATGTTTTTTCCGTCTTTATTCTCAAATTGACAGTTAATGAGAACACACATGGAACAGATTCATAATAACATTCATAATATCCTGGCCATTGGGTTCTCTCTTTTCTTTTTTGTCTTCAGAGTCCTTTCCAAAAGGAAACATGCTGCCTGGCATTCTATATATTATTCCCAATTTTCAAGTGGAAAAATGAGACAGATGTAGTGACATAAAAACACTGGGAATTACATTTTTAAAAACAAGACAATAATTCAGATCTTCTTGTTTTAATTCTTTTCTGTATCACCACGGTAAAATATTTATCAAAGTCCAAGAGATTACTGATATGCAATAATGACCAATGACTTTACACTAATGGAGCTATCAAACAATAAACTCATCAGTGAAGTAACTGGAGAAAAGTTCAAATGTAAAGGGTGATTCATTATTCTCTTTATAAAGTATTGAAACAACCATAACATTCAAACATCAGAAAGTCCTACGTAATATTAGACAGTAATTCGTAACTGTGAAATGCTGTAACATCTTGAAGTACCTTCTGAATGACCAAAATGGATGAAATTTTGCTCAGTATAACTTCAGTTTTTTTACACAGAACTATGTATTTTAAAAACTGGTAACCCATGTAAGATATACACAAAACCTTTACCTGACTATTCTGTTCAATGATTAGAACTCCACATTGCTTTGTTTTTATGGACTGATGAGATTATAATCCAATGAAATCCTTTTAACACGTTCTAGTTTCTAGAATGGCATGTTCAAATAATTTTGTCCTATTAGTTTTATTAACAAAAATCTCCCATTTCCTCCCATTAGAGGGCCTGACTTGATTTTTGTCTAAATAAGTCACAAGTGTAACCCCTCCAGTCCCTAGTCCATGGGCACTTCATGAGTCTCAGTTCAGTGTAAGTCAACACAGTGACCTTCCCATGAGTTTTCCATTGGAGATTTTAAAGTAATTTTAATATTATCCAAAGAGTATCCTGTCTTTCTCTAGGCTTTTGTCAAATTAATAATGGCATGTGGTATTCCTCAGCATAACCTGCCAAAATGTGATAATTTCCTTGGAAGAAAAGCCATGAGCTGCAATCACACGTCTGAGTTGACAGACATCCAAATGGATCCTATATAAAAAGAAAAGGTTTGTGTCTTCTGGAATATGGATGTCCACTTTTAATAAATTCAAACAGATCCCAACATAAACATCTTCAAACTTGATGGGTTTTACGTGACTCATCATTTCATAGATTCTTGGCACCAAATCTCTGGACATTATATAACCCAACCCACTGCAGTAGGGAGGAAACACCTTGAAGGGATACTCCTGGTATGAAATATGGGCTTTCTGGTAAAATCCTCTATAGGAATAGTTATCGATTAGAGGATAACCTGTGAAAAACTTCTCTGAGTGATTTACATTTAAAAGGTACTTCACTAAGTTGCCAGTATTGATGAAAACATCAGTGTCTGTCTTCATGATGTACTTGGCATTGGGGCAAAACTCAGTTACCCACCTGAATGCCATAATTGTTTTCAAGGTCAGATTATTATACGTGTCTAAAAAATCCTGTCGTATTATGTCACCGTAAAGGAGGTGTTCATCCTCTAAGGACAATGCTAACATTTTGTCTTCCTTTTCAGCCTGTTGGCCTAATAAGAAAAATGTAAGAACCTCATATCCCCACCAAGACTTTTTTTCACCCCAAGTAACTCTAATGGCCTGTCTGGCTTTCACATCTGAAGGGTGTGAGGTCACCAGGATGACAAGAAATGGGTTTTGATGAGAGCAGTTTGAATGCTCTCGAAGCGTGAAGCGAAAGTCTTGTCTGTAAATTGGCTCATACTCATAGAAGTACATCCAGTTTACACGTTCTATCACATTGTAGTGGGGCAGGCTGAGGTACCACATCACAAGGAAACTCAGGAGGGACAGCAGCAGGAGGCTCCATTTGAGGGATCTCAGTGACATCCTACTCGGAAGGGTGGTCAAGAGAGCCAGGGCCATCCACAGCAGCTCCAAAGCACGCGAGCCTCAGGTTCTGGAAGATTTATCAAAGACCTGGTTAGTACTCCACCACCCAAGACACATCATTAAATGATATCTGATTATCTCCTTAAAGTGAGAGGCGGGACAATAAAAGCTCCCAAGCAAACCAAGAATCCTGACCCAAGCCTCCTTAATTTCATTTAACTATAAGCAAATGGATACCAACAACCAAGAGTGCATTTTAGCTTTTTACATCAAGATCAAGGTTAAAAACATATCCTTCATTACTTTGGGAAAAATAATACTTTTTGTTTGATTTAAATAACTGTTGAAATACAATTTTGTCCTGGATGTCCAGAGGGACAGAGAGAGATGAGTAATGGGGGTTAAAAAATAAACCTGCAATGAAAACAAAACAAAATCCAGAACAAAAAGTTGCATTTTTTCTTCACCGGTATGGAAAAGACGTAAAGAAATTAATGCAAGGAGATATTACCAGCGACATGTCCCAATAAACCAAGGGTCTTTCTCAGCTTTGTGATCTGATGTGGATTCTAACAAATCCGAAATAAGGAAAACCCAGTAGCTACAGTTATTCACGTGAGATGGGAGGAAAGCAGAGACTCTTCACCTGAGAGGCAAGTCCTCTAGACACAAACAGGATAACCAATGCTCAGGACTGTGAAGGAGCTTTTACTTGTCCAAAACACATCCCAGCTCCCCTTTTACCTCACTGGCTGAACTCAGTGCTCAGTCTGGATAGCAAGTGCTTAAGTTAAAGGCCTGTCCCCTGTATGGACTGTTCATGTGTTTCCCATTCTAATCTATTCAGAAACCCCGCGCCAGATCAGAATCATGGGAGGGAACCCCCAAGAACACGTGCTTTTACACAGACCCCCAGCTGAGACGAGAACAGAGGTAGGGGACACAGAGCACTCGGCCCGCAGTGACAGTGCGGCCTCAGCTCTGCGCTGGATCCCAAGGACGAGGCTGGTGTACAATTCAGGATCCTGCAGGGCTTTCCTGGTACCATGATCTAAAGACAAACACAAACACAGTGTTTCCTAGATCCTCCCATCCACAGACTACACCAAGCACTAAGAAGACCAGAGGAAGGACATGGGAGAAGAAGGCAATCCCAAGGCAATGGGGAAACATGGCAGACTGTTTATATCAAATGCTAAGGGACTTCAGAAGGAGGGACAGATCAACAACATGGGGGGCAGGCTGAGGAGGTCCTGATGGTGCCCTTTCACCCACAATCATCTGGGGGGAGGGCTCTGGGAAGCCAGAATTTGTTATGGGGGGGCGTACATTAATGTCACTATATGGGAAGGCTGGCCTCCCAAGGGTTCTACTTTGGGTCAGTCTTAGGTCTCTGGACACACAGCTCTTCTGCCTCTTAAAACTATGAAGATGACAGGATCTCAAGACCCCTTGTCCTCACTATCTGGCCATATCTTACCTGCTCTGACTAGTCTGGTCACGGTAATCTTTCCTTTCTCTAGTGCTTTCTATACTTTAAGTCACACAATACAATGGAATGTTCTGGCAAACTCTCCAGTTCAGTTTCATGTATGTGTCTTGCCTCTCAATTTATATTCTATGACCTTGGTGGCAAAGTTGTTCTCACAACTGTCAAAGTGCAAGACAGAGAGAGACCTACAGCAGGAGTGCAATGAACACAGACTTGTCTGTTATGCTATTTCTAGTTGTATAAGGATAAAAGGTAGGTCTGTCCATCCCACTCCATCCTCCTCCCTCCCCCTTACTAGCCTTACATAGCCAGCTCCTGGAAAAACCTGAAACAGAAGAGACCTAGAGAAAGGATTAGAGAAGGAACTAAGTTCTTCTTACATTTTCTCTCATCTGGCTACTAGACACCGCCACAACTTTAGGACACTCAATTTATACCTCAGCCAACGAAAGTCTGCACATTTATTACACAGTTGTCAGGTGCAGTTTTACATCTCATTCTAACAAACAAGCACATTATAATAAATTTCAGACAAAAAGAAAGAAAGTATCCTGTGTGAGGAGCAGCCTTTATAACTGCATAGAGGCAACCAAGGCCCCGTTACTCTTCGATAATGGGAAGAACTCAAAACAGCAAATCTTATTACAGAAGTGATCTTACGTGCCTTCTAGAAGCCATGGTTTCTAGAAGTGAAAATGTGCCTGTAGTCATGAGGTCTACTGCTTGTGGGCCCACAAAGAAAATAAAGCAGCAGCAAGTAGAAGAAGAACTCTCTAGTCCAAAAAAGGGGAAAGGTCTTTTCGAGGACTGGCCGGACAGACTTTAGATTACCTACAACGCAGGCGGCTCTAAGGGCAGAGACCGCATCCCCACCCCAGGTCTGACTTTCAACAAACAGGGCGAGCAGGTATGTTCTTTATCTTTCGGAGCCTCAGCTTCCACATCTCTGCCCTGAAGATGTCAGGACAGCGTAAATGGGGGATAACATGTACAAAACACGTAGCTGGCCAGTAAGTGTTCAGTAAATAGGGTCTGTCATCACCAGCTGTGTTCTTCCCTGGGCAGCTATTCTTCCCTGTTTGTGTTCTCTAAATTGATTTTTATTGTCAAAGGAATTATCCTAAAAAAAAAAAATCATCTTTATAAATGCTTACTACTTAAAGGAAAATAGGTTTCAAAGCCATAAATATATTTCTATTTCTTACCTGCTTCTTGATTTATTTCTTCTGAGTGAAAGACCTTCAATTTCACTAACTGGGCATTCAGTAGTATGCAGCAAAAATAATGCTTGAAATTTCTGTAAGACAGAGAAGAAACTTAACAGCATTTACCTAGGGGTCAGGGGATCAGAAGTCAAAGAAGGGAAAGAAACAAGCCCAGCTCCTCCAGTTTCTTTCTGAACTAGAAACAGATACTGAAATAAAAAGTTAAAAAATTTACCACTAGCCCATAGAATTCAGAGAGTCCATGGCTTCATCATGGAAAAAGAGCACTTGGCGTTCAAGGCTTAAAACATACATCTAAGTTCTCACGTCGTTCTCACGTCACCTGGTGTCTTCGGTCACCGTACCACAGTTTGACTTCCCTGAATAAGAACTCAGCGGTCACTCAAATAAGCGAAACACAAAACTTCTAAGAGACACTGTGCTGGTATCCTTTCCTTCATCCCCTGTTCTACACCTGCGTTCACAGCAGGCAACCCCGGTGTGCAACTGCCGACTACCACTTCCCAACCCACCCTTCCCCTCTGAGCACTTACCCCAGGCACACTGATAGACCGTGAGAAGAGAAACAGTGAGGCAAATCTCGCTTCCTGCCATGATTCACTACGTTCCTGTCTTGGTCTTTACTAGGCAAGCTTGAAAACCAGAGCAGGACATGAAAAACAGGGAGGCACTGACATATATCCCTCCTTATACAAAAAACGTTTCCAATGCATTAAAGACTCAAGTGGGAGAAAAATGAACCTTTCAAAGCACTAAAAGAAAATATGGATGAATATTTTAATAGTTTTGAAGTGGGGAAGACCTTTCAATTACTCAACTGTAAGGAAATAATATAATTTCAAAAATTTCTTGAACAAGATTGAAAAGCAAAAAAATAAAGACAAACAGAAAACTGGAGAAACAAAACAACAATAAAAAGCACAAACAAGGTTGGAAGATAAAAAACAAACTGGGAAAAAAAACACCTGAAATTTTATGACAAAGATTTGTAAACCCAATAAAAAAAAGGCTTCATACAAATTAAGAACAAGATGAATACTACAAGGGAATTAATGGCCAAAAGAGAAATTCTCAAGAGAACTACAAATGATCAATTAAATAAGAAAAGATATTCAAACTCACAAGTAAGGAGAAATATTGACAAAAATCGCAAACCAGCAAATTCAAGGAAAAAACATGACAATATTCAGTATGTGTGAGGGGAAAAGGCATTCTCATGCACTCTGGAGGGAAATTTGAAAACAAGTATCAAAATTTTAAACATACACACCCTTTGACCAAGCAATACCACTGCTAGCAATTTATCCTAAAGAAATAAGTAGGCAACTGTGTGTAATTTAAAATATGAAAAAATTTGATTTAAATGCCTCCCAATAGAGAACTGGTTAAACAAAACTATGATCCATCCATACAAGCGCATATACTTATTCACTATATGCAACGAAACTATATTACCGACATTTCCTTGATATATTACTAAATGAAAACTGCAGTTGCAAAACTGCTTATGTGCTATGAGTCCTTTTGAAAAATGAAAAGATAATTATCTACAAACCCAAAGAGTCACATATGCTGAGCAAGATTTCTAGAAAGATGTGTCCCAGTATGTTAATGGTTTCTATTCTGTGGGATTTCTGGAAGATTTCTTCTTTCTTTCATTTTTCTTTTTGTATCATTTGGATTTTCCACACTATTCATTTTTGTCTTTGTAAATATATAAAAACAAAGCCAAAAAAATTAATTTTATGCTTGCATATCTCAAAAGTTCCACTGAGTGGTAGCAACCCTAAGCTAGCAGTCAGGATTCTGAGTTTCATCTTATCCTAGTTCTTCTCCCAAAGTGTGACCACGTACAATTCATGATATTTCTATTAGGTATTATATTCTCTTATTTTAGTGAATATTATCTCAACATAGTAAGGAATGATTTTAAAAATCCACTCAAAATATAGTAATTCTAATATAAATCTAACAGGATTTACATTAGTTAATAATAATAGTACTTTATATATATGTATATATACACACAGATAAATATAAAAATTTATGAAGTTCAAAACAAATATTATTAGTTTTCCCCCCAATAATGCTATATAGTGGGCCAGCTGGTTTTACTGTACCTATCTTATAGATGAATTTTAGAGATTTCAAGCGAATTGAAGATGAAATAAAGACACTTTCAAACAGACTAGGACTTATAAAGTCTATAAACTCTAGCTCAAAGTACCAAAGGAATATATATTTTAGTATGTAGAAAAATGAACTCAGGAGGAAGGAACGGCATGAAAGAAACAAATGGAAGCAAGGAGATAATTAAAAGATAGTAAAAACTAATACAGATAGTAAAACAAAAAGAGAGAGGGAGAAGAAGAAGAAAAAAAATTATTCTTTTTAATGAGGTCAGAAAAAGTGAAACTAAAATACCATATAAAAATGACATGGTTGCTATAAAAAAAGATTCTCACAAAATTAAAATATGTTAATATTCTTACCTAATTCAGGAGGAAGAAGGAGAGAGTGATAAACTTTAGGACTGTGCAAAAAATTCATTTAAGAATATACATTAACCTTTAGAAGGACCACTGAATTAGTAGGTATGGACTATATATCTTCCATACTGATTGAGAAATAAAAGAAACAAAGCAAGCTATCAAATCAATAGGGGGTAGGACAAGAGAAAAAAAGCAGAGAAAATGCATGGCAAATAGAAAACACAAAAGATGTCAGAAGTAAATATAAATGGAAGCCCCTGGGTGGCTTAGTCGGTTGGGCATCTGACTCTTGGTTTTGGCTCAGGTCATGATCTCAAGGTCATGAGATCAAGCCCTGCATCAGGCTCTGCCCTGGGTGTGGATCCTGCCTGAGGTTCTCTCTCCTTCTCCCTCTGCCTCTCTCTACCCCCACCCCCGCTCTAAAAAAATAAAAAGTTTTAAAAAGTAAAAAAAGAAGTAAATATAAATGTACTGTCAGAGTAAATATACACTCACCTACTAAAAGACAAGAGATTCTCAAATTGGCTTAAAATTCTGCCATTATACTGCTTATAAGACACATGCCTAAAACAAAACAACACAAAAGTTTTAAAATTAGTAAATAAGAAAACATATCAGGAAAATGCCAATCAGAAGGCTGCTGCAATTAAATACTAATGTCACATATTTTAAATGAACAGGCATTCAAAAAGAACAAGAAGATTTTGCTACTAATAAAAGCAGCCATCAAATAAGATCATTTAACAGTCATGAAGCTATATAAACATAAAAACATAGCCTCAAAAAAATATAAAGCAAACTCTGAAAAGTATGAGTACAAATAGAAAAATCTATAATCCTAATGGAAGGTTTTTAACAAATCCCCCTAAATAATACATCAGCAGGCCAAAAATAAGGATATGCATGTTTCAAATAATATTAACAAATTTGGTTTAATAGAATAGTAATATTCGTTTCAAAATCACATGAAACATTTATTAAAAAATTGATCATGTTAGGCTATATAACACATTTCAAGAATTTTTAAAACTCAATTTAACAGGAGTGCCTGGCTAGCTCAGTTCATAGAGCATGCAACTCGATCTCAGGGTTGGGAGTTCAAGACCCACACTGGGTGCAGAGACTACTTAAAGAAAAAAAAAAAACAAAAAAACATACCTCAATTTAACAGAGGCCACATTATTTGACCACAATATAATTATAACAAAAACATAACTTGAAAAACATATAAACAAAAAAAACTTGTTTGGAAACTCAACATCCTTACACACACAATTTGTTTAATCCATAAATTTAAAGAGAATACCATATTGGAAAGTGTACAATATGTGCAACTGAGTAAGATCAATTTACTACATTTCAGTGAGGCACTATTACATCAACTCCTTAACTGAAAACTGTTGGTTTGGGGCAGGGAAGACAAGCTTGTATTTTTTTCTGCTTTAAAGAATGATCTATAGTTCAGGGGAGACAAACAGCTCTAATTAAAGAGGGAAAACTCCTTTTTACAGAAAAATGCCAATTTTAAACGTAGGTACAGTGACAGAATAAGAAAACTATAATTTTGCAACTTCTCATGAAATTATGAATTCAGGCAATGATTATTAATCAGTGTTTTAATCATCAAAGGGAAGATTAATAAGGAGTTGGACATCTGTGTGGTACCAAAGTAATACCACAAAGATAACCTTTTACTCACAAGGACTGAAACAATATAAGCTTTACATTGGAGGAATTAGAGTGCTAATTATCAATGTTAGCATTATAAATGACAGAACAAACGCATACTATTTATCTCCTAAGGAGATGATACAATATGAAATGACAATATTATCTCTGATGAATCCTAGCCAAAAATGTTAACTGGAATTTAATCAAAATTTACACAAAATAGAGAGAATAGAAGAACAAGCTAAGGAACACCACAAGCAACATTCAAAGAAATCCAAGAGCTAGGATTGTCAGCTAGCATGGTGTCTTTAGCTAGTTAGTACCATGAAAAAAGGGAGAGCTGTAGATTAAAAAAGATTTAAGGGGACACAAATTGCAGTGTATGGTCCTGGACTGGATCCTGGAGAGATCTGAATACAACCTAAGTATTAGGTGATGCCAGGAGGATTATTAATCTATTTAGGTGTGATAATGTTAACAGGCTACAACAGGCTATTAACTGGGTAAATAAATGTGGTATAGCTACACAATAGAATACTATTCAGCTACAAAAAGAAACAAAGTACTGATACAGGCTGTAACATACCAGTTTTCAAGAATTCAGAATATGGGGGCCCTGGGTGGCTCAGTCTGTTAAGTGTCTGACTCTTGATTTCGGCTCAGGTCATGATCTTGGGGTTGTGGGATTAAGCCCTGTGTTGGGCTCCATGCTCAGCATGGAGTCTGATTGGGATTCTCTCTCTCCCTCTGCCTCTGCCCCTCCCCCTGCTTACGCTCTCTCTTTCAAAATAAATAAATAGAATCTTAAAAAAAAAAAAAAGAACTCAGAACATGGATGAACCTAAAAAAACATTAAGCTAAGTAAAAGAAGCCTGAAACAAAAAACCATATATATGTGACTCTATAAATGGGAAATATCCAGAAAAGGCAAATCTATAGACAGTAGGTTAGTGGTTGCCTGGGGGTGGCATAAGTAACTGGCTGCAAATGGAGATAAAGAATCATTTTGGGGTAATGGAAATATTTTAAAATTTGATTTGGTGATGGTTGCAGATCTCTGTAAATTTAGTAAAAATCACTGAATTACAATTAAAATGAAATAATTTGGGTGCCTGGGTGGCTCAGTCATAAGCGTCTGCCTTCGGCTCAGGTCATGATCCCAGGGTCCTGGGATCGAGCTCCACATGGGGCTCCCTGCTCGGCAGGAGGCCTGGTTCTCCCTCTCCCACTCCCCCTGCTTGCGTTTCCTCTCTCGCTGTCTCTCTCTCTCTGTTGAAAAATAAATAAAATCTTTAAAAAAAAAAAAAGAATTAATTTTATGGTATGTAAGTCATACCTTAATAAAGCTCTTAAAAATAAAATTTAAAAAATTTTCCTATTTCTAGGAGTATGTATTTAGGAGTAGAAAGTCAAGATACCTGTATTTACTTTTAAAATATTTCAGTAATAAAAACTAAAGAGAGTTAAGAAAACAAATTCCCACTCTCATTCATTTATGGTGGAACAAGAAATGGTAACAACTCTCTGGAGGGCAATTTGGACATACTTACACAAATTACAAATACTTTACTCTTTTCTCAGTAATTTTGGTCCTGGAAATTATTTTAGGCACAGCCGTATATGTCTAAAATGATAAGACCTTTTATTGTTATTAGCTACAACATTATAATAGTAAATGATTAGAAATAACCCAAGGGATCATTAAGGGATTACTTACATAAACAATGATACATCCACACAATGGAATACTATACAGATGTTTAAAAAAAGAACGGAGATGTTTTCTACGTACTGACCATGAAAGATTTTTAGAATACATTAAATGGAGAAGGAAGATCTAGAACAACGTTTATAATGTGCTAACTTTAACTTGTGTTAAAAGGAAGAGAAAAGGGGCACCTGGGTGGCTCAGTCTGTTAAGCATCTGACTCTGGATTTTGGCTCAGGTCAGGATTTCAGGGTTGTGAGATCAAGCCCCACATCAGGATTCTTGCTCCATGGGGAGTCTGCCTGAGATTCTCTCCCCCTCCCTCTCCCTCTGGGGCCCCTGCTCTCTCTCTCTCAAATAAATAAATAAATCTTAAAAAAAAAAAGGAAGAGAAAAAATATGTATATTTGTGTGTGTATGAGAAAAACAATGGAAAGACACATACAATGGGTAGGGAGGAATGGGGTAGATCAGAAAAGGGGTGAGAGCATCCCTTTTTTTTTAAGATTTTATTTATTTGAGATAAAGCGAGAGAGAGCATGAGCTGGGGGGAGGGGTAGAGGGAGAGGAAGAAGCAGACTCCCCACTGAGCAAGGAGGTCAATGCAGGGCTTCATCACAGGACCCTGGGATCATGACCTGAGCCAAAAATAGACGCTTAACTGACGGAGCCACCCAGGCTCCCCGAGAGCATCCCTTTCTTATATTACTTGATATTTCTTTGTTATATTACTTAAATAACATTACTTGGTTATATTACTTTGTAAGTTATATCGTTCTTACATTAATTTGATTCTCAAAACACTTGAATACATTAAAATTCAAAACAATGAAAATAAAAATTTTTCCCTCCCCATTTTAAAGTGGTACATATAAAAACACACTGGATGTAACTAATGCAGTCCTTACAGAAAACTCATAACCTTTTAAAACAATACACACTTTCAAAAGTAGAATTATCTTATATGCATTTTTTGTATCCACTTGATTTTTTTAAACTGGTATATAATTTACATACAATAAAATTCATCCTTTTTATTTTACTGTTCTGAACATGTAACCACCAGCACAATCAAGATATGACTCAATTCCATCACAACAAAAATTCTACTAATGTCCCTTAATCAATCCTTCCCTGAACCTCCAGGCAACCACTGATCTGTTTTTCATCCCTATAGCTTTGCCAAACCAGAATATGTTACATATATAGAATGATACAGTATGCAGACTTTTAAGCATAATGAATAATATTTTTTTTAAAAAAAAGATTGAAAATAAATGAGCTGACTACTTAGCTCAAGAAGTTAAAAGAATAATTCCAATGTTATTACAGAAACAAGAAAACAGAAGGAATAACAAAGATAACGCGGAAAACAATGAAAAACAAAAAAGGAAGATTATTTGAAAAACAAACATTAGGAATAGAAGGGAAGTATCTAATCTGTTAGAGAAACTGTAGCAAACTTACGATGAAACTTTAGAAATATTTCTATTAAAGTCAGTAAAAAGACAAGGATGCCCATTATTGCCTCTACCATCCAGTGCTGTTTTAGAGAGTGTTACTGCCACTAAAACAAGAAGAGGAAATAAGATGTAAAAACTGTTAAGGAAGAGAAGAAAACCTGCCATGATTTTCTACAGAGAAAACTCAAAGGGAAAAAGACAACAGATAAGAACTAACAGGTTTACCAAGATGTTGGATATGAGCTCACATATATATCCAAAACATTTACAAAACCAAAAATCTAAGGAAAAACACAGCACCAACAAAAACTACAGAGTGTCAAATAAAGCTAACAAAAAATGTGCAAGGCCCTGATGTGGAAAGGTAAAAATCTTTTCTGAAGAATTAAAATTAAAAAAAAAAAAGTGAATAAACAAGAGACACATATTCAGGGATAAGAAAACTCAAAAGTAAAGATTCCACTTTCCCAAATTAATCAATAAATTCATAGGATTATGAAAGGAATTTAATGATCTAGGAATAAGCAACACAATTTTGAACACAAAGAATGAAGCTGGGAGTGGGCTGGGTGTTATCAAATCGTACTGAAGAGCTACAGTGATTAAAACAGAGTAGCAGAAAGATTAAACAGCTGAATAGCGCCAAGACTGGAGGCAGATCCACATATACACTGGGACCTGAAAAATGGCAGAAGCTGCATCACAAACCAATGGGGAAAAGA